GTGCTGCGTTGATCTTCCAAGTCTCTCATGTCCTCCAGGTTTGTGAGGCACGTGGTCGGTTTCCGTCGTGAGTGCCCAAAGCACCCTTGATCAAAGGATACCAAACCCATTCCTTGGTAGCGGAGCAGCTGCATTAACTCCGGCCATGCCCAAAAGCTTGGACTTTCTTCTTCGCGAGCTTGTGGAACATACGTCAACGGATCCTGTGGGCTCTCCAAGAGGAAAGCGGTTCTCACACGATGACGCTCGCGGCATTCTTCAGACCTTATGAACAGGCCAATTTGTTTCAGCAGCAGTGCTGCATCTGAATCAGCCAAGTTCTTCTCCCGGTCTGTCAATCCTGGTAGACCATACCGGTCATGGAAACGTCCACGCAATGGTCTTGGTCCCGGTTGTTTCTGCCTCAATCGGCTGACCGTCCGACAGGGAGGTCCCCCGATGATAGCAAGAAGTTTTCCCAGGCTTGCAAGTTTCCAAAGGAAACTCCATGTTCCCGGATTGTGTAGATCTTGATTTCGACCTTCATTGATATCCAAAGTGATGACTTCAATCCCATTGATGGGATTCTTTCGCCATTCCTTCGCCCTTTCTCCAGCAAAAAGGTGGACTATAACCCCTTTTGAGGTGAGCAGCCTCCTTCTTTTGTGCCGGTTCCATGGTAAATCATGGTTCATTTGCGGATCTTCTTCATCTTGACCCCGCATGTAATTCCAAATTCTGTCCGGTGTTTCCGGAAATCGTGATCCCCACCACTTCTTGGTCTTCTCCGTGGGCTCTTCCAAGGTGAGCCGATGGTTGGTCCTCTTTTCCATTTCCATGTGCTCAATCTCAGTGATCAGAGCCAGAGCGTGGTCCTTTCGAACCACTGGACACCCAGACCTTAACCAACATTCTATGTTTCCCAGTCGTGGATGCTTCACAACACATCCTGCACGGGACCAAGTGATGGTGTATCCCAATTCCACCAAACCTCGAAGAGGTACAATTGGTTCCACCGGTCCCTCCGACAAGAGGGTTCCATTCACAGGATTTTGATAGAGCTGAGCAGCTCCATGTGCGAGTTCCACAGTGACCTGCACCGCGTTCTTGATCTCCTCGGTTGATCCCTGTCTCAAGGGGTGTGTCGCCCCACCATCCAATAAACCCGTTCCATTATCAAACTCGACTTCGAGATGATCCCCACCATGCCCCACCGATTTCAAGACCGGTCCATTGAGACCCTTCAAAAGGCTGGTGACTTCTCCTACAACCTTTTCGGACTTCTCTGGTACAGGGGTAATAGTGACCGTGGATTCATCCCTCGGGTTGATCTTCACGACAGGTTCAGGACGTTCTTGAGCAGCACCTCCTTCTTTTCCAGAACCATTTTTCCTCTCTTGAGATCTTGAGCGGATTCTAGTGGTTTTGGCCACCTTTGGTTCTTCAGATCCACCTTGTGGACCTCGTGACTCACTTCGTTTTCCCGCCGGACAATCACGTCGGGAGTGTCCCTTTCCAGAACAGTTGAAACATCGGCCATCTTTGGAGTCCAAAACGGTGTGCATAAACCGGCATCGTTCTGCATATTGGCATCCCTTCTCAGTCAGCCAGTTGACGCACGCCACCTTATGGACCACATTAGCGGCGTTAATCGGCAGCTCGGGCTTCTCCCCCCTCCTTCCGGTGGAAGAACCTGCTGCGTCTTCTGGTTTTCCCTTCGAAGCTCCCTTTGGTGGACTTCCAGATGAATCCGGTCCACTCATAGACTTCACCCCCACTACATTGTTGGGCTTAGTCGTTGGACCCTGTGTTGTGTTCCCCGCTTGACGGAGAGCCATTTCACTAGCCTCCGCTTGAAGAAGTTCCGAAAACGTTCGGATCTCTTGCATTCCCGGCCGGAGATCTATGCCCAAATGCTGTCTCACCGAAGACAACCGGTAGGCAGCTTGAGCTCCCCCCAATCTGGCCAAGGCATCACTCATTTTTGCGACCACTCCGGCCAAAACCAGAGGATCGGGCAAAACCAATTGAAGTTCTTCGGCACGAACCACCCATCTTCTCCACTTCCGGATGGAGTTGACCATCTCTGCAGCATTATTAGATGGACATTTCCAGTCCACCAACATTTGCAGCAGGGCAGTTCTTTCCACTTGTCCCCCAGGTTGGAAGACGGTGTACAGCTTGAACATGACTTGACCCGCTGACATGTGTCTGTTCGCCACAAGGTCCTCGTAGATGTCCTTGGGGACGGCTTGAAGCAGCATACCCACCACCCGTTTCTCTGTGCGAGGCCACCTACGGGCCATGTCAGGTATCACAGGCGCCATCCGGAGCCTCACGAGTGGATCCGCTTGCAACCAGTGGTGGTATGCTTGTTCAACAGCAGTCATCACTACTTCCCACCATTGCTCTGAGGTGTAGCTCACATCCCCAATCATCTGTTGGGCAACTGTCAGCCAGTCTCCAAAGTCCAAAGATGTTGCGTTTCTGTCCAGCTTCGGCAATTCGACCGATCTTAAAGTCTCGCCTGGTATTTCTCCCCCTGCCTGAGGTCCTGCTTGGACTGCAACTTGCTGTTGTTGTTGTTGTGGCGGTACAGCTCGTCCTGGATTTCCTTGATGACCACCTGGCGGACCAGGTGCTTGTCCCGGATTTCCATACTGCCCCGGCGGTGGACCCCCCGGCCAACCACAACCACCCATAGGTCCGGTGTTTCCACCCGGAAATGCAAAACCTCCATGAAGTCGATGATCTTGTCCTGCAGGTGCTCCTCCAACTTGGGCTTGAGGATTATACCATTGATTGGGTTGTTCACCCATAAAACAGGGTCTTGTGTTTTCCATGGCTCCCATGCAGGGAGCTCCCATTGGTGGTCTCGGCGCCGCTCCCTGCGGCATTCCATTCATCCACCCTTGATTCATATACACATCCATCGGCCGAAGACCTTGTTCGACCCTGGGCGCAGGAGGCGCATGCCACATCGGACCTCCCGCCTTCAATTGAAGATCTTGATCATGATGATGTTGAACTCCCGGAACTGCCTGATCTAGCACCTGTTGTCCTTGGGGTGGGACACCTTGAGGTGGCCCTACAGGAAAACACTGCCCGATGTTCTGCTCCGGAGAGGCGGTTTGATAAGACCCCCCACTCGACTGAGAGCCCTTGTGACCTCCTCCTGTTTCTTGGACCCGTTCCAGGGCACGTTTCTCTTCCCGCGTGGCTAACCAATTTTCTCGATCTTGTTGGATCTCAGTCTTGCCCCGCTGGATGAATTCCATCGCTCGTTGTTTCAACTCTTCATACTTCTCTTTCTCCCTTGCATCCGCCCAATCAATCAGGTCTTGCGACACTGTGGGATAAGTCAGCTCCTTCACTGGAGTTTGTGGACTGCTCATTAGAGCTTCCACTCGCTTGGCAGCACTCCATGGATTCGTTTCCTCTGCAGCCATGACCCCGGTTACAATCCCAGGATCCACAACCGCCGTTCCCCACTGAGGCACCATTCCCGTAGGTGGCACTCCAGCACACATGGATTGCTGGGACATCCCAGCTACTTGCGAACCCTGTGTTCCACCAATTGCAGTATACACCACAGGTGCTCCCGCCGGCTGGTAGATCATAGGTGAGCCTGTTGGTGCCGCTGGCACCGATTGTTTAACGCGTGCATCTTCAGGAGACTCAACAGGTGAACGTCCCGGTCGCTCCAAAAGAGCAACGGTTTCCACAACAGCAGCCGCACCTCCACCCACTTCAGTTGAGCTTTGGTGTTTTCCACCCTGTCCTTCTTCTCGATTACCCACAACAGGTGGTTCACGAAATCCCTCAGACATCCGGGCAACTACTGGTGTTTGTGTCATAGGCACTCCCGAAAGAGTTAGACTATTCACACCTGGGGTCAAACCAGACAACAGACCACCATTCCCATTTCCTCGTACCACTTCAAGTCCAGGAGGTTCTTCAGGTGGTAAGGACACTGGTCTTGCGACTTCTTCCGCAACAGCCGGATTCTGGGCGATTCGTTCGCCCGCTCCAGCCCGGACCGCCGCAACCTGCACTAGGGCTCCACTTCCCCCAGCACCGGTCAGTGCCATCACACTTTCTCCAACTTCCCCTTCCATCAGTGATCTTCGGGTTGAGTCTGATGATCTTGTCCCTGTTCTTTCCCCATGTGCTTGTCCAGGTGCGTCCATCTCCTCCAGAAGCCGGTCCAGCATTTGGTCTGCCGTTTCCGCGCGTTCTTCTTTTCCATGTCCATGGGTCCCATGTTGTACTTCTTCAGCATGAGCAGCCGCTTGAACTTGGCGTTCTTGTCGACGACGCTGAGTGAAGTCGCTGCTCGACATTGCTTCAAGGCAGCGTTGGGGTTGGGCTCATAACCCACGGGTTTCAGACTATGACCGAGACCCTTCCCGGAGGTCCCCACCAAGAGGCAGATGCAAGTGCACCTTTTCACTCCAAGTTGGGCTCGGTTAATTGAGCCAGTCAGTTGATTGGCCCTTGAGCCAATTGAATGGCTTGGCTTGAGCCAAATTGCAACAGTCGGAGGACGTCTCAACGACTGTGAAAACTTTAAAAAGACCTTAGTGGGGGTGCAGTGGTACTCTGTGCATGTTTCCCAAACCGCAGGAATAATTTAGCCCATGAAATTTGGATAATTTTCTAGCCATTCAGCTTTGCGAGCTTACACCCCGAGCGATAAAAAGGTGGGTGGATGTCCCCGCCGGCCATGTTTGATAGGGGTATAGCAAGTCTCGGGTCTTGGATTCTTAAATTGATCGTTGAATCACAATGTTTTAAATAACTTAAAATCCAATTCAACTTGATCTTTGAGTCCTTAGATGTTCCCCATATATAGTACATATATATATATATATAGTATATATATATATATAGTACATATATATATAGTATATATATATAGTATATATATATGTGTGTATATATATATATGTATATATATATGTATATATATATACATGGCAAACAATCCCCATTTCTGCCAGCACTGGGCGATGGATCAGGAGACTCCTGGTGTCGCCCATCGCTTCCACAGAGAAAGCCACCAGGCGGGCTGAGGCGGGCCCCTACAACGGGGGTTCCGCAAAAACGTCCAAACCTGTTGCGTCCATGTCATGCAAAACATGGGGTTAAAGGAAACCATCCCCACGTCCTTCATAACTTCACTTCCAGGGTTCCAAATACAACCGATGGTCCCCAACAGAATCGATGGAATGGATGATCAACCGTTGCTTGCTGGATGACGCCACATGACAAGTTTCTTCTTCTTCTTCGAGCCATGTCATTGACGCATGATATGTGCCTTCAAAAGTTAGTTCGTTTTGCTCTTCTAAACTCCAACAGAACAAAAACCCTGTAAAACACAGGAGATTTGAAAAACACGTGCGAGCAAAACTACCAGTCCGACGCGTCCTATGGGGGTACCTCAAGTCACCACAGCAAAGTGTCAATACTAAGTCATGGTCATGGCTTGGATGATTTGGGGTACAGCTATTTTAGGAAACCTCTGTTTCGAAGGTCTTTGTGAGTTTTGTGGGATAGAAGTTTGCCATAGTTTCTAAATGTTTCCAAAGTGTAAAGTTTCACTAGGTTCGATTCTGTTGTGCCGGGCATGGAGAAGTTCAGCACATAATTGGCCATGGGGAAATCTGGATTGAAAGATGGCTCGAAATGGACAGAAAGATGGTGTTTTACATCCATTTGAGATATTTAAGTGATGTTCACTATGAATTACATGAGGGATTCAATCCGTAGACAAATACAGAAGAGTTGAATTTTGGCCAAGAAAAGGTTGGTCCCCACGACGGCGTCCCTTCCCAATTTCCATGCTGGATTGGTGGGGGTATCAATGAATTGGTGGGGATTCTTCACAGACAACCATGCTGTTTCTAGAACCAAATAGACACCACAGAAATAGCCAGGTCATCCACATCCAAAACACCATCCAATCTTCCAAAGACCATCATTGGGGGTCTATCTTCATTTTTTAGGGGATAAATCAAGATAAATCATGGGTTTCATTGGGTTTCCAATCATATTCCCATCATATTCCCATGGATAAATCGTGAATCCCCATAGATCACCCAGGCGTGCCATGCTCTTCAGCGATGGGCAGCTACGCGGTGGTATGGCGAGATGCTTCTTGGACCAGTTGGAGAGGTGAAGATTTCACCAGGAAAATGGGGGGGTTCACCATGGTTTACCCTCTGGTTATGTCAAAATAGCTATTGAAAATGGTGATTTTCCATAGTTATGTTAGTTTACCAGAGGATAACCATGGGTGATATCCATGGGATTTCGTGGATATATGATATTTAAGGGCAAACAGACCTGTCATGAGTACAGTTTTTTGCTCGTTCAGGTTCGCGAAGTTTCAAAGTTCATCTTACACACGCAAATACACTTCGTAAAGGTGGAGTCGCTTCTTTTTACAGTTCCCCCATGAAGCCGTGACAATTGCAGGGTGTCCCAAACGAATGGGTTTCAGAGCTTGATGTTTTAACAACGCCCTAATATGTATTTGATGTTGACATCCCCATTTTCGATGGCAAATTCACCATTAATTTCTCAACATCTTGGATTTGATGGTTCGATATCCACTCAAACCCTCCAAGATCGCCACTGAGACAATGCTGCGGTGGACGCTTTTGAACGCTGCAAAGTGGCTGGTGTCGGGGGACCAGGGCTGTTTTTATTGGGGAAGGCTACCAGGGGGGTAGCATTTTCGATAGCACAGATATCACTGATTGGGAGGTTACCCCACTAATTCATCAACCAAGATTTATCAATCCTGAGTTGACATTATGAATAGCTTACGGATAAAAAGTTGAGAAACCCAAAAAAATCAAAGATTGGTATTGACAATGACCAGCATTTATGAGCGTTCACTCTCAATTTTTGACCTATCCACATGGAAATCAGCTGCAACATCTGGTAATCAACACTTCTCCACAAAAATTGTCCTGCCATTTTTGCGGAGAACTTCCTCTTCTCAACAGATTCTACCCCCAGCTACGCAGTCAACTGCATTCCCGCGATCGATTCGGTCCCGATGAAGATACTCCATGCGTCTCCATGCCAAACCCCCGCGAAGTGTTGGCGGAATTCCAATGTCCATGGAATTTGGTCGATGATTCGATTCTCCTATTGAACAGGGGGATGGGATGTTTCAATTTAAATCCCCATCATTTCTTGGTTGAAACATGTGAAAACAATGAAACAAACATCCGATTTCTGGATTGACTCTAAATGTTCATCACTTTTTTGCCCTGCAAAACCAATGTGGCGATGGGTGGACACCTATTATCACCCAAATTATATATCCCCAATCTACTATCACCATCTTCGGGGGAATAAACATCTGTTATCATCTACTTACCTACTACAACTATTTACATATATTATCATCAATTTTTGCCAGCTATAACTATTTACCAACTATAACCATTCGGGGGAATAACTATTTTACTAAATCTGATGGTATTTGGGTACCATAATTATTTGTAGTTGGTAAAAATAGACGATGATACTATGATAGATCACATATATATATATGTACCATATTATTTATCATAATCATATATATATATATATTTACCATATTATCATATCATATATCCATATTATAATAATATTTACACATATATGTATATTTACCCTATCATCATCTATTTTTACCAACACCATTTGGGTACCATCCGCGTGCCATGACGGCACTCAGGTGCCCAGTACCGTGGTCGCTGTGGGCCAAAGCGGCGGTTTTCTACGCGAGGCAGCAAAGGCGCGGCGATCTGGGAAATCCCCGGAAAAAACGGAGGGGTTTGTAGCCAGGAAAAAAGGGTCTGAGATGATTATACATTATTATCATATTATTACTATGATATACCATTAATAGTGTGGAATTGAACAATAAATGATTATTATTACCATCTGGTTATTTAACATAGCCATGGAAAATCCACCCATTCTTAAGAACGGTAAACCATCTATAAATGGGCCATTCTCCATGGCTATGTTAAATTACCAGAGGGTAAATCCATAAATATAGAAACATCCATGAAAATCATCCATAAATCTAGGTGGGATTGTGAAAAATCATACACAAAAATCACAAAAATGATTGGATTGTCCAGTCATGTTTGATTGCTGGAAGGGAACATTTTTTTTGGTAGGGGGACTTCATTTTAATCTTGGAGATCTTTACTTGTTGGGAGTTCACTTGGATTCTTGGCATTCGAATATAAGGTGGGCCCACCATTAAAACCATCAACAGCTGGGCAGGAGAGGATCAACACACCGGTGCAGCTACCACGAAATCCACCACGAAAAGTTGGGATTTATCCAGAAACAAAGGGGGGCTTGATATTCAAAAACACGGGCATATTGGTTTGATAAATGATAAATGATGGTTGGTTGATGATTGTTAGCATTTTTGTGGGTATATGATATAATTTAATACATTGGATATTTATCCTATTTTATCATAATCCTTGAACTGAGATTTCGCATTGACCAGCCATGATTAGGTGGATTTTGAAAACAGGGTGTCCCAAAGATGACGTTACTGGAAAGGGCCCAAACTGCGCCGTGGGTCACCATGGCATTTCCCAAGTGTCAATGCTGATATTGTTGCGCAGGTCCATGAGAAGTGGCCTCAAGATTCTCATCTTTGTTGAGTGGTTTATATTTGGGAATACCATCTGGTTATTTAACAGTTCGCCATGGAAAATCCAGCGATTTTTAAGAATGGCAAACCATTTAACCATCTATTTCGATAAATGGGCCATCTATACCATGGCTATGTAACAGTCATAACCAGATGGTATATTTATAACATGTCTCAACATATATGTCATAATAAATAACCATGATGGTTAAATAACCAGATGGTATATGTGTTAAATAACCAACATGTCTCAACGAAGCAGCCTGGTTGATCCAGCCTGGGTTTCGAAAGTTGGCGGCAGGCGGCGCAGGGTGACTTCATCCACCTTCACGGTCCCGAAGGCTTTCAGCAGGCACCGATGCTGAAGCCATGGCCACCGGCTGGTCCACTTTCGATGATAAAAATCTATTGTAAATTGGCCACGGCTTCCAGAGGATAAGCATAAATTATCCAGATAATAGAGGATATATAGATCTATATATGGTAAATTGGCCATGTCAAATTACCAGGGGATATATAACTAGCAGAAATCGTGAACCAGAAGGTTTGGCAAAAAAAAATGATGGAGGAATGTGATACAGTGCCCAGCCAAACAAATCATGAACATCACTCTACCCACTGACGGTGTAAACCTGACAATTGAGATATCCTGGGAATTTGCTGCGTTCGTTTTCCAGAGTGTTAACCCACATTTATAGCCATTTGTAGCCATTGAATAATGAGCAAAACAATGTTTTAATCTTTTAAACCATGAAAATTGTGGTGTTTATCTGTTTTTTTGGATATCCTGATGTGTCTTTGATTTCAATGTCTACTGTAAAAAGCATTTCAATAACGTCGGATTTTAGCTTAAATTCATTTACAATTAAATCTAACTTAATTGACAATTACACCTAAATCAATCTTAAAATTAATTTAGATTAGATCAATTTAAAATCAAAGTAATAAATAAGTGTTAGATCCACGTTGAATTAGTAAAACATTAAATACATATTAATCAGATTGATTCTAATTCGAATGTAAATCGACTTTAGACTGAATTTTGAGATTAAATGTATCTTTTTCTTTATCAAATCCAAATTAATTGTGTTACAATATAGATCAATTTAGAGTGCATTTTGGACTGATTTAAGATTACATATAGATCAACTGTCAAATTAAATCCAAATTGGTTATATTTTGGACTTACATATTTTTCTACATAGAATTTCAATTATTTTTTCCCCACCTGCCAGGTGAGGGTTGTTAGATTTTATGTCAGTTGCCTCCTCCTCCTCCTGCTCCTCCTGCTCCTCCTCCTCCTCCTGCTCCTCCTCCTCCTCCGCCTCCTCCTGCCTCGTCCTCCTCCTCGTCCTCCTTGTCACCCTTGTCGTCCTTGCTCAACTGCGACCCGCGATCCACAGTGTTCTCTGCCGGACCTCAACCACGACCACCCACGCCCAGTGTTCCCTGCCGGACCTCAACCACGACCATCCACGCCCAGTGTTCCCTGCCGGACCTCAACCACGACCATCCACGCCCAGTGTTCCCTGCCGGACCTCAACCACGACCATCCGCGCCCAGTGTTCCCTGCCGGACCTCAACCGCGACCATCCGCGCCCAGTGTTCCCTGCCGGACCTCATGCCAAGTGTTCCCTGCCGGACCTCATGAGATATGCCAGATAGAAAGCCAGAAGATATGCCAGATGGAATGTTAGATAGAATGCCAGAAGATATGCCAGATAAAATGCTATGAGATATGCCAGATAGAATGCCAGAAGGTATGCCAGATAAAATGTCAGATAGAATGACACAAGATATGCCAGATAGAATCCCAGAAGATTTGCCAGATAATTTGCCAGAAGATATGCCAGATAGAATGCCAGAAGATATGCCAGAACATATGCCAGAAGATATGCCAGATAGAATCCCAGAAGATTTGCCAGATAATATGCCAGAAGATATGCCAAAAGATATGCCAGATAGAATGCCAGAAGATATGCCAGAAGATATACCAGAAGATATGCCAGATAGAATGCCAGAAGATATGTCAGAATATATGCCAGAAGATATGCCAGATAGAATGCCAGAAGATATGCCAGATAGAATGCCAGAAGATATGCCAGATAGCCAGAAGATGCCATATAGAATGCCAGAAGATATGCCAGATAGAATGCCAGATAGAATGCCAGAAGATATACCAGCCAGATAGAATGCCAGAAGATATGTCAGAATATATGCCAGAAGATATGCCAGATAGAATGCCAGAAGATATGTCAGATAGAATGCCAGTAGATATGCCAGATAGAATGCCAGAAGATTTGCCAGATAGAATGCCAGAAGATATGTCAGATAGAATGCCAGAAGATTTGCCAGTAAGAAAATGTAAAAATGTCGCGGTGGGGATCACACGAAGTAAAGTAATTAATGTTAAAACGTACATTTAAAATCATTTAAAGTGATACCTAGATTGGTGTGAAATTAAGTTTGAATCAATTGCACAAATTTCGATTAGTTTTGCACTATGTAGATCAATGTCAAATTTGCCACCAACAGCCTAAACCAACCCTGAACAAATCCTAAACCACGCCTGACAATTCCGGAACTTGAAAACCATCGAAAAATTCATTGAACACCTGCAAAGAATGAGGGGATGGCAGCCTCTAGGCTGGGCAACAGAGTGGGCTTCCCTCTGTTGTAGCTCCAGCTCTTGTTGTTTGAATCCCCATACAATACATATATAGTGTACATACATCTATGATTGAGTTGGACATCATAATATTTACCCTCTGGTAATTTAACATAGCTATGGAAAATCACCATTTTCAATAGGTAAATCAATTATAAATGGTCATTTTTCAATAGCTATGTCAAATTACCAGAGGGTATATATATATATATATATGTATTATATCCCAAACATATTCATTCTGTATCCATTGTAGATCCAGTTCTATATCCATAACATATCCCATTCATGTCCTCATTCTATCGCAGGTGGTGGCTGCCGCCTCGGCTTCGCACTTTCCGCGGCAGCCCTAGGGCTGCCGAGGAGTGATGGGGGTTTCAAGCATCGTCTGGGGTTTCTATCATGAGGATAGTGATGGGATATTAATGGCATATGGCATAATAATGGGATATATATAGGGATATATAATGGGATATATAATGGGATATGCAATGGGACAATGTAATTGGATATATGATATATAATGGGATATAGACTGGGATATATAATGGGGTACAAGATATACAATGATATTTAATGATATATATTTAACCAACAAGCATTATAACCCATGAGGGGAATGCTCATTTGCCATTCAAAAACTGGTGCGATGACATGAGATGACATGACCTGGACGGAGGTATCCACCATTTCTAGATGATTTCCCCATTTCGATTGCCATTTGCGGATGGGTCAAAACCCTATCCCCCTGGTGAACATCAAAATAGCTGGTAAATGGATGTTCATCCCCCTAAAAATGTACCTATAGGTATTGACCCATACCCATTTAGCTCGGGGATTTACTGCCATGTTTGATTCCCGGAGGGTAATTACTTGTTATGTCCTTCTGTACCATAATTGTGTTCTAGATTCTCCAAACATCGGCCAGTTAGCCTCTGGCACTGGAAGATCCTCTAGTTCGATGATGTTCACAGCGATCAAGCTGCATTTTTCACCGGGATTTCTCAACCATTAGTAAAGCTTAAACCATCCAAGATTTGACCATTCCCCACCCTGGCTGATTTTGGACCAATAAATTATCCAATGATTCATTGGTGGTTGAGAAAATATCACTCAGAGCTCTATTCCCAAAAAATCTCCCGGACAGGTGATATTTTTCCAATATATATCCCTACTGATCATTATATCATCATGATATTCCCATTACTCCGGTAATCAAACATGGCAATGGAAAATCCACCATTTAGTTCGATGATTTTCTCATTGAAGTCTCTATCTTATAGGGAATGTCCATTGCCATGTTTGATTATCAGATATCCCCATGATATTGTATTCCCACTACATTTCCATACTTGTATCATGTAGAAAAAACATATGTAAACACTTTATTTAATTTCCCATGACATGATAGAAATATATTCCCATGTAATGTCCAATATACAACTATGTTTCCCATGTATCAATTAAAACATGGCTATGGGAAAGCACCATTTTTAATGGGAAAATCCACTATTTCTATGGCCATTTTCAATAGCTTTTTGTATGTTTACCAGAGGGTAATTTCCATCACTATGTCCAATATATTCCCATGACATCCCCTTTTTGAGATGCGATTCTCCATCCCCATCTGCTCCGAGTTTGTTCGCCACCGACGCGACGCTGCGACTGGCGACGGCCTTCGGAGCACGCCTGGTGGAGACCTACAGCCACAGGCTGGGATGCGGAGGGGATTTTTTCGGGAAAGTCCAGCTTGAAATATCGGAAAAGGTCAGAAAATATCAGGACATCCCGGATTTTTCTAGAATAGCACATTTTTTTTAAAGAACATGTTAAACGGAGAGCACGATCTATCATGTTTGGTGGAATCATGCAGGAAAGACATCTGTGATAATCTTCAAATTGCATATCGAATTAGACAATCATCAGGAAAAAAGCATCTACAATCATCTATACATGGTGGAAGTATATGCGCCCTTGTATCTTGAAAGATTGAATAGAATGGTGAGATAATTATCTTGATTTGTTTTTCTACTAGTATTATCATCTTCTGAATGGTGGAGTGATACATACATACATACATACATACGTACGTACGTACGTACATACATACATACATACACACATACACACATACACAAATACACACATACATACATACATCCATGCATGCGTGCGTACGTACGTACGTACGTACGTACATACATACGTACATACATACGTACATACCTACGTACATACATACGTACATACATACATTACATACATTACATACATTACATACATTACATACATTACATACATTACATACATTACATACATTACATACATTACATACATTACATACATTACCTACATTACATACATTACATACATTACATACATTACATACATTACATACATTACATACATTACATACATTACATACATTACATACATTACATACATTACATACATTACATACATTACATACATTACATACATTACATGCATTTCATACATTACAAACATTACATAAATTACATACATTACATACATTACATACATTACACACATTACATTCAGTACATAAATTACATACATTACATACATTACATACATTACATACATTACATACAGTACATGCATTACATACATTACATACATTACATACATTACATACATTAATACATTACATACATTACATACATTACATACATTACATACATTACATACATTAATACATTACATACATCAATACATTACATACATTACATACATTACATACATTACATACATTACATACATTAATACATTACACACATTGCATACATTACACACATTACACACATTACATACACTACATACATTACTCACATTACACGCATTACACACATTACACACAGTACACACATTACACACATTACACACATTAAACACATTACACGCATTGCACACATTACACACATTAATGACACGCATTACACGCATTACACGCATTACACACATTACATACATTACATTACATACACTACATTACATACATTACATACATTACATACATTACATTACATTAATACATACATTACATTAGTACATGCATACATACATACATGCATACAAACATTACATACATTACATACATTACATACATGACATACATGACATACATGACATACATGACATACATTACATACATTACATACATGACATACATGACATACATGACATACGTGACATACATGACATACATGGCATGCATTACATACATTACACACATTACACACATTACACACATTACACACATTACACACATTACACACATTACATACAGTACATAAATTACATACATTACATACATTACATACATTACATACAGTACATGCATTACATGCACTACATACATTCCATACATTACATACATTACATACATTACATGCATTACATACATTACGTTCATTACACACATTACATACATTACATGCATTACATACACTACATACATTACGTTCATTACATACATTACATACATTACATACATTACGTTCATTACATACATTACATACATTACATACATTACATACATTACATACATTACATACATTACATGCATTTCATACATTACAAACATTACATAAATTACATACATTACATACATTACATACATTACATACATTACATATTTTACATACATTACATACATTACATACACTACCTACATTACATACATTGCATACATTACATACATTACATACATTACATACATTACATACATTACATACATTACATACATCACATACATTACATACATCACATACATTACATACATTACATACATTACATACATTGCATACATTACATACATTACATACATTACATACACTACCTACATTACATACATTACATACATTACATACATTACATACATTACATACATTACATACATTACATACATTACATGCATTACATACATTACATACGTTACATACATTACATACATTACATACATTACATACGTTACATACGTTACATGCATTACATACATTACATACATTACATACATTACATACATTACATACAGTACATACAGTACCATACAGTACATACAGTACATACAGTACATACAGTACATACAGTACATACAGTACATACAGTACATACAGTACATACAGTACATACAGTACATACAGTACATACAGTACATACAGTACATGCACTACATACATTACATACATTACATACATTACATACATTACATACACTACATACATTACATACATTACATACAGTACATACAGTACATACAGTACATACAGTACATACAGTACATACATTACATACATTACATACAGTACATACAGTACATACAGTACATACAGTACATACAGTACATACAGTACGTACAGTACATACAGTACATACAGTACATACAGTACATACAGTAGATACAGTAGATGCAGTACATGCAGTACATGCAGTACATTTAGTACATCCAGTACATACATTACATACATTACATACATTACGTTCATTACACACATTACATACATTACATGCACTACATACACTACATACATTACGTTCATTACATACATTACATACATTACATACATTACATGCGTTACATACATTACATACATTACATACATTACATACATTACATACATTACATACATTACATACACTACCTACATTACATACATTACATACATTACATACATTACATACATTACATACATTACATACAGTACATACAGTACATGCATTACATGCATTACATACACTACATACATTACATACATTACATACATTACATGCATTACATACATTGCATACATTACATACATTACATACATTACATACATTACATACATTACATACATTAAATACATTACATACATACATACATTACATTACATTACATTACATTACATTACATTACATACATACAGATAGATTTACGGATTTATGTATGCGGAATATAAGCATGGTGATTTGGTTACTGGTTCTAGCCTCCGGTCATCAAACATGAGGCTGATTTTCTCATACACCCAAGGCGTCGGCGGGGGCACCAGCGCTGATACCTCAGGAGGGTTTGGCGGATGCCCAATCTGGGAGGGGATTGAGCTTAAAACGTTATGTCTGGTATAGAAAAAATAAATACCTGCAACAGCCGCGGAAAAGAGCACCGATCTGGCTCTGGCTGCCGCCGCAAAAGTGGAGACTGTCAACCACAGCAGGTTCATTGTGACCAATCCTGTTCAGGTAATATTTTTCTAGACTTGAGAGTCAAGATGCTGGGCTCAGTTTTTTTAATTATTTTTTGTTTTTTTGGTTTGAATTGGATTAATCCAATCCGAGGAAAAATATGTTCTGATTGTTTAACGTTGTTTATTATTTGTTGTTTGGTGTTTTTTGTGTTTTTAATTGTTTTTTGATTTTTTGGATTTGTTGAAAAACATAAAACAAAAAAACACGAAATCAAAATTGCTATAATAGCAACTTTGTTGTCACTATATATTGGACTATTATAATAATGCCCATTATACCAACAATGTTTGTAGTATTATGAAATACATTGATCTGCAATTAAATACAAATTGTATATATATTTATTTATGTATTTATTTAATTAATTTATTTAATTTATATATGACATATACCCATCAGCTCTTGTACATCATCCAGTTTTTCTAGCTACCTGTGGTATCCTGTGCTTCTCCGCCCCAAGGCCCCTGGACCGAAGACTTCGTCCTGGGCGCCGCTTCCACCGACGACGAGCTGCCTCTGGGCGCACTGCGCCAGGGCCGCACCGAGCGGAAACTCATCGTCGCTGGGCACAATGGGCCGCGGCGCGGGGCACGGCCATGGTGGAAAAATGTGGATTTCACCGGCAATCCTGGTTGAAAATGGTGAACCTGTTGGACATGTGGGATTTTATATGAATTTTAATATCGACAATGGCAGTTTAAGTGGCAGAAATTAGGGTTTAACCTAGAAATATGGTGGTTTAGTTCTTAGAATGTTGGTTTTAAGTATCAAACATGGCAATTCAAGTGTCAAAAAAAAACAGCAAAAATACCGATTTGGCCAACAGAAATGGGATAAACTAACAAGGGTTTTTGACCCCAAGTCATGGGGGAATTCACCAACAATGGGGGAGGAACCATTGAAGATTATTGTAAATATGTTTGAATAATGGGGTGTATATTTACCCTCTGGTAAACTAACATAAAACTATTGGAAATGGCCATAGAAATAGTGGATTTCCCACTAAAAATGGTGATTTTCCATAGTTATGTTAATTTACCAGAGAGTAATCAGTATAATTTCATAAAGCAAAAATCACATGGTATGGCCTGGATAATTCCTGGTGGTTTAAGGATTCGAAATGGTGATTTAACAAACCAAATTTGTCCTGAAACATGTGGTTTTGACCAGCCAAAAATGGGATGATAAACAATGGTATGGGTACCAAGTGAAGATACAAACCATCAAAATCGGTGAGATAAAGGGATTCAAGGAACAAATTGGAGAGATGCAACAAAAAAATGGAACATCCTAGCAAGGAATGGTAAAATTCGAACATATGGGATTAGATTACGTCATATTAACCACCAATTAGCCAATATTTCTCCAAGATTTATGGGTCAGCCAGATTTCCACCTCCATGGAGGTATTGGACCTGCCGGTGTACAACAGAGGATTTGAGCTGTTGAAGTGTCCTTCAGGATCCCACCTTGATGGTCATGGGTGGTTTGTTAAACATCCCCGTTGGGGCGGTCATGGTAGGTTTATGGCTGGTGAATCCCACATGAATTCATCACTTTGATGCCTGTTTTTGTTCCGGTTTTTTGGTAACACCCTGGTAAGTGTTCTCCGAAATGTTGTGCCAGGGTGGCACACAGCGGCTAGCGGCACTAACCCATATTTTTCGGTCGTCTCCACCAGGAACATCATTTCCAGACCCCCAAAAAAAATCTGGTTGGTGGTTTGGAACATGAATTTTATTTTTCTATATATTGGGAATTTCATCATCCCAACTGACGAAGTCATATTTTGCAGAGGGGTAGGTCAACCACCAACCAGAAATTCATGGGGTGTTGATACCAATCCTTTTGATTCGCACCAAAACTGGGTCAGACCGCTACTTGGAGGTACGAGCTCTTGTACCAACAGCTCGACGGCACCAGTGTGTTGTGAAGCCCAGGAGGGTCCAAATGGAATGGGGGCACCGGAATTTTTGCCAAAATCATGGCTTTTAGAAACCATGGTTTGGGATTGATGTTGTTTTTTTTTGTTTTTGGGCATTTTTGTTTTTTTTGGGCATGCAGTCATGTTTTTTTTGAGAGTTTTGTTCAACCTTTGTAAGTGCCAGTCTACCCCTGTGGATCATTTTTTGTGGAGGGCATAGCCAGCTGACATTCTCCGATTTTAGTTGGATTCATTTCTTAGATTTAGCGCTTGGCCTGGTGATATTGCTTCCATTTTTTTCCATTTTGATGATGAATTCCCAGTGGCCGTTTTTTTGGTTGGCAATTTTAATTTGTTTTTCTTTCTGAGTGTGCAAACTGGAAAATCATCCAATCGCGAGTTTTATTTGCAAACATAAACGATATCTGGTGACTTTCCTCTATGAAAGTATACCTCTAAGTAGCTGATTAAAGTAAGAGTAGGATCAGCAAATCTAATTAATGGAGACAGCCAAGAAATGTTCATGTTTGCTACATCCAGATGTTGTATGAGATGCAAGAATTGAACCACACACAATTTTGCCAACCCTTCTTGTTGGCTATTGACCATGAACATGTGTGTTCATGTGTTCCTGTTCCCATTGCCATTTGTATCCAAATCTGTATCCACATGCGTTTGCCCCTACATGATTGAAAATCCCATATGGAACAAGGAGGATACCATGTGTGGACTTTGCAAGTGATATATACCTTTTCGTTTCTCACATGGTGGATATCTGGATATCCATGATAGAACAATGATGCACAATAGGTATGTGATGTTTAGTAATGCATTGTTTTTTTGCCAATGACCCTCTGGTAATTTCAGGTAATTGCTATTGAAAATGACAATTTGATGAGTTCATTGATTATTTAACATACTTAGCTATTGAACATGGCCATTTAGTTCGTTGATCTACCTGATTTATCTATTAAAAATGGTTGATGGTTACCATCTGGTTATTTCACATAGCCATGGAAAATCACGATTTTTTAAAGGTAAACCATCTATTTCTATGGGCCATCTATACCATGGCTATGTTAAATAACCAGAGGGTACCAGCTGGGACGGTTTTCAGGTCGCAGTGGGAGCAGTTCACTCAGCACGTGGCGCTTCCTGAGACCTCTCCGGCCACTGGGATGAAGATTTGGGGACAGCCTCCAGTAAACATAGAAAAAGCTATTGAAAATGGCCATAGGAATAGTGAGTTTTCCCATTAATCATGGTGAGTTTTCCTATTAAACATGGTGATTTCCCCATTAAACATGGTGAATTACCAGAGGGTAAGTCGAAGGAGTCAGGCCGGGCTACCCCTATCATCCATAGATTGGCTTCGCAAATTATCCAGCTCTTGGGGATAGATGGAAAACGGGAAAATCATCCTTTAACGGTGATTTTATGGATAGTAGATAGTAAACCTCCAGTGTACCTCCAGCAAATCTAGCAGTTTGTTATGGAAAATGGACCGTTTTTATGGATATGTTACCTATTGAACATGGTAATTGCCATACATAGGTTAATTTACCGGAGGCTAAAAACACCAATCAAAAAACACAACAGACTGAAATTTGGGGTTGGAAAATGTTGGACACAAAGACGCCAATAGTTTGGGGCGTCTTACCAAAAATGGATTGGATTACGTGATGGAGTATATTTATAAATTTAATAAATATTGATATTGGAACCATGGATTTGATAAAAATTGATCTCCGGTAAATACTAAACACCATGGTTTTTATCAATGGTGGAGGAGTTTTTGTTGATGGCAGAATCGGGCGTGGAAGCCGTGGAAAATGGGGATTTCACAAATACGGATTTCAGAGAAAATTGGCAGATTTAAGTTACACAAACTGGGAATTTGACCAATGGCAATTGATCGGAGTCCAAAGATGAGGGGTTTTCCACTGGCCATTGATGGAGAAAATCATGAGGAACCATGTCTGGGTTAAGGATCACCCCGTTACAAAAAAAAGTCCCCGATTCCGTATCAAATTTATATCTGGTTTTATTCCACAAAGTCTACAAGCACATACGAAAATCATCAATATCAGGAGTTATGTTCCATTGTTATATATATATATATACATAATATCATGTATACATATATATATATATACATAAACCAGCTTTATGTCCCGTATTTTGTTGATCCGTTGAGCATGTGGTTTTCCCACATCGTCCATAGGATGGTCCTCCAGGGGTTGGCGAACTTCTGCTGTTAGGCCGTTGAGCCGGCGGCGGATCTGCTGTTTCGCTTGGATCGCTTGCTGTTTGGAGCTCGGTGACAGGATTTCTTGGAGATGTGCCAGGAGGCTTAAGCATTCAGAATGGGGATTTAGATGGAATTTAGATGGATTGAGTGAGAAATCAAAGAAATCAAAGGGATGTTAAACGGAATTCATGATATATATATATATATATATTATATATATTATATATATTATATATATATTATATTATATATATATATTATATATTATATATATTATATATATATACAATCAACTACAATCAATTTTTGGTTGGATTCTATAGCCATCTTGGTGGATGGTGATGAAAATGGATTATGATGGGATCGATGAAGAAAGCCGCTAAGCAGTTTTTTTGCTGCCGAATGGATCCAATTTCCCATATATATGGGATGATATGGGAAAATCCTATTCAAAAATGGATGATGAACAGAGGTACCCCCATTGATGGAAACCCAAAAATATGAATATTATTGTATATTCAAAGTATATTGGTACTTTTAGCAAGCGGATTAGCATTGCTGATGTTCATATACTGATACACATTCACACTATAGACTCTAGATGAGATTTTCCAACATGTCTTTATATGAGGCTTAATATTCCTCCGTGAGATTCGGCAAGGCCAATTAAACAGGATCTGCACAACACAAAATTAGGGTTTTTTTAACTGCACAAAAAGGGGATTGAACCTGGAAATCATGGGGGTTCAAGCACCAAAATATACCCTCTGGTTATTTAACATAGCCATGGTATAGATAACCCATTTATAGATGGTTTACCTATTAAAAATTGTGATTTTCCATGGCTATGTTAAATAACCAGATGGTAGATATAAATGGGCTTGGTCCATTATTATGTAAAAAAAATCCCAGATTTACCGGCCATGTACCCCTTGTAATCTGGATCCTCAGTGCCCTTATTAGGGGACTCCCAACTACCTGAACCACCGCATACCGGAACCGCAATGGGTTGCCCTGTTTTTGTTGGTTGATCCTTGGGATCTTCCAAGCAAGGAGCCACTGCCATCGAACTGTACATACCATTACAACCTAGACCAAAAACTTGAAAATTCTGCAGGGTTTCAAAACAAAGCAAAGGATTTTTACCTAGAATTTCTAAAGGGGTGTATAGAAAGCATCCACTGAAAAACAAATGTTTATGAGGATGTGAATGGACGCCATACACGACAAAATCTTCAGTTAGATATATTGCCCCAATTGGTGTTTTTGGCATACTACAATATCTATCATCTGGTTATTTAACATAGCCATGGAAAATCCCAAAAATAAATGGAGGTTTATAGCTGGGGCCATCTATACCATGGCTATGTTAGTCATAACCAGATGGTAATATTTCTATGGCCATTTTCAATAGCTATGTAACAAATTACCAGAGGGTATATCCCATTACATCCCATGAAATCACCATGAAATCGCCATAAATTACCATTGAATCACCATTAAATCGCCATGAAATCGCCATAAATCACCATTTTTAATGGGTAAATCCACTATTTCTATGGCCATTTCCCATGGCTTTTTGGGACGGACGGCTTCATCCAGATCAGGTCCGAGCGGGAAAACCTTCGCCTGGACGAAGAAGCCGCTGAGGCGTTTTCTGGCGATGGGAACCAGGAACCAAATAGAGATGGTGATACCCTCCGGTGGTTAATAGTGGTTAATGATGGTTAATAGTGGTTAATAGTGGTTAGTAGTGACTATTTAGTGGTTAATAATGGTTAATAGTCGTTAATAGTGGTTAACAATGGTTAACAATGGTTAATAGTGACTATTTAGTGGTTAATAGTGGTGATTGATGCTGACTAATGGTGATCAATGGTGATTATCTGTAATCTTCGTGACCTCACCTGGCTAGAAGTCAATTGGGGATTTTCCAGCCACCTTTGACGACCGGAGAAAAACCATGAAAAATAGCATAAAGTGGGATTCAATCCATTTATTGGTGAAGATTGGTGAGTATTGGTATTTTGGTGATTAACCAATTATCATATATTATTGCCAACCGAACCTTAGAACTACGGTTTGGAAACCGCCGCGCCACCGCGAAAGCCAAACCTCACGTTTTGGGCACTTTCCGGTTTTGAAATAATCTTCCCACCACGCTGTGTGCGATCGGTTTGTCACTTAGAATGACCACAAAAACATCATCAAAAAATCCATCTATCGACGTGTTTTTTCTTTGGAATTTGCCATATTTAGGAGGTTTTCAACACAGAATGTGGTTTCTTCTATATGACGTTGACACCAACATCATCCAACATCCACCACTTGGAAAGCCTCCACTGCATTTTGTCTGATTTTTCCACATGTGTAACAGAACTGGAAGGAAAGGGGCGCGCCTTGATTTACATGATGTGTGGCTGTAAAACTTTTGGGGCTACTGGGGCACGACAGTTTGTAGTGAACAAAACATGCAAGAATGATTGTGCAACATGTTCATTTTGTTTATATTACGACCTTGGGCAAGGCCCATTCTAGGTGTAAAATCTCCCATGATATTGCAGGTCACCCAGCAAGAATTGCGCACAAAATCTGCAGGATCCCAATATTCACACCGCGCTGTAGGCATCCTAGCAGGTGCACCTAAGGGGCATTAAATTCACATAGGACAGGGGCTGCCAGAGGTCGTTTTATGGGAAAAACGTTTGGATGCAGGGGGACTATTTGCGTTGTATCAAATGATGGTGACCCAGGGAAATGCCTGAATTGTGCACAAATCCCCCATGGAACACGACTTTTTGAGTTGATTCCTGAACATCACAGGCATGGGATATTTTATGATGACCAAGGGTATGAATTGCCCCAGACAATCATTTTTGTTGTTAAATGAAGCGGGGCAGGAGGCATTCTAAGTGTAGAGTTCCCCATGCTACTGCAGGTTGCTTAGCAGGAAAGGGGCAGGGCTTGATTCACATGATATGTGCTTATGTGAGCTTGTGGCTGCTTGAGCGCATCATTTTGTAGCGAGGTAAAGTGCACAAAATCTGTAAGATCTCAATAACATATGTGACGTGTTTTTTTGGGGAATGTTTTTGCATGCGTGTGGACTTTATTGCTTGCATGTTGTTTCGCACCACGCTGCAGGCATTCTAAGTGTAGAGTTCCCCATGCTACTCCAGGTGCACCTAGGAAAGGGGCACTGCTAGATTCACGTGATATGTGCTGATGTGAGCCTGTGGATGCTTGAACACATCACTTTGTAGCAAGAAAAAATGCAAAACATCTGCAAGATCTGAATAACATATGTGATTTTTGAATATTTTTTAGATGTGTTATTTTGCATGTGTTTGTTCTTTTTGCCTGTAATGATGTGTAGTTTGACACTGCACTGAAGACATTCTCAGTGTAGAGTTCCGGTCTTTCTTTAGGTCACCTGCTAGGAAAAGGGCAGTGCTAGATTCATGTGATAGGTTTTTGTTACGGAGGGGTGTTGATTGGGTATTACTGGCCCGTGCTGAAACGCACACGCATGCACCCATACACAAGTCATATGCATTTTCGTATGACGCAAACCATCATGGCGCTTCGCCTTGCCAACCTTTCTGGATGTTGTTAGCAGCCCGCGTCCATGTCAAGACAAGAATTCACATCAAAACCTTGGAGAAATGATCGTTACTGGGATTGGTCACCAAATACTATGGGCATTTTGATTACACAGAAACATGACAAAACCCTGGAAAGATCGGTGTTTTCCGGGGTATAAGTGAATCAACTTCCACTTTAAGACAAAATATGTGGTCAAATCATTGGAAACTACACTTTTTTGGGCTTCAAAAGTGTTGCAAATCAATTTGTGTGTGTTTTTGCAGGTTTCATACACTTAGCGCCACCCTCTAGAAACGTCATTCTAAGTGTATGATGATTAATGTTTGGAAACCTTGGGGTGGTTCTAAGTTTCATTTGCCGCAAATAACCTTAACCACTATTAACCATTGTTAGTTAAGGTTTTCATTTGGTGAGCGCAATAAATATAACCATTAACTAATTTGGTGAATATATTGGTGAGGTAATCTGCCAAGACCTTGGAGCCTTGGACCGAGACCCGAAGTTGGAGCCATATTGTCGGGATGAGTGTCCCAAATGTGTGTGGTTTTTTTTGGAGGGCTTGGTTGCTCATACCCTCTGGTGATTTAACAGGTCGCCATGGAAAATCCACCCATTTTATAGCTAGATAAACCATCTATTTCGATTAGGGCCATTTTCTATGGCTATGTTAGTCATAACCAGAGGGTAAAACAAACATCAAAACAGGTGATTTATGGGATGAATGGGATACGATGGGATCTCTACCAAGTATCTTGCAATGGACTTGCTGGCTTTGGGGCTTCCCTCGCATGATGTTGCCATAAGTTCCACCATCCAAGTGAACTGGTGCCAGGCACAAAGTTTGCCAGTCCCCATACACAAAGGCACGGGAAACCGCGAAACCGACCCGGTGGATCAAATTGGAAGTGCTTTTAGATGTCATGAAACTCTGATTTCTGATAGGAAAAAACATGAAAAAACTGTTGTACATCCAAATTCCAAGGTTCGATATGTTGAATTCTTCTGGGGTAACCTGGTAAAACGTGTTTTTTTTCCGCAACGGGGTGTTGCTCTAAATGGCGGTTGCACACGATCTTTGAGAAACTGAAAGCAGCCTCATGTGATAAGTTGTAAGTGTGCCACTAGTGTCTTGGAAATTTCTTTGAGTAAATGCCCTTGTTTACATTTTTTGGAGGGTGACATCCATATGATCAAACATATTTGGGGATGCTGCTGGCCATAGAAAATGGAGGGCTAATTATTTTAGGAATTTTTTTTTGATCAGGTTTAGGAATTATTTTTGGATTCCTGCTTCTCTGCTTTTCCTGCTTTTCCTGCTTCTCTGCTTTCCTGCTTTTCCTGCTTTTCCTGCTTTTCCTGCTTTTCCTGCTTTTCCTGCTTTTGCTTTTCTGCTTTTTTGCTTTTCTGCTTCTCCTGCTTCTCGCCTTTTCTGTTTTTTTGCTTTTCTGCTTCTCCTGCTTCTCTGCTTCTCTGCTTTTCTGCTTTTTTGCTTTTCTGTTTTTCCTGTTTCTTTGCTTCTCTGCTTTTCCTGTTTCTTTGCTTCTCTGCTTTTCCTGCTTCTCCTGCTTCTCTGCTTTTCTGCTTTTCCTGCTTCTTTGCCTTTCTGCTGTTTTGCTTTTGTGCGTTTCCTGTTTCTTTGCTTCTCTGCTTTTTTGCTTCTCTGCTTTTTTTTTTGCTTTGCCTGCTTTAAATACTTGATTTTCATGTAAGATGCATTTTGCACAGTATTTACATCCCTGAGTATCACATGACCAACCTTCTCTTGAAAACTAGCAACGTAACATGTGAGAAGAGGTGCTTGCATTCTGCTTTGGGGGGAGGCGCTGCGCCCTCCCCCAATCCCCCCCTCCCGCTTTTTTTAATTTAAACTTAAACCCAAGTTACATTAGTTGGTTTTTGCGAACTAACCTTCTCTGGAAAGCTGACAGGATTACATGTGATAGATAGATAGATAGATATAGATAGATAGATAGATAGATAGATAGATAGCTTGGTAGATAGATAGCCAGCTAGATAGATAGATAGCTAGAGAGATAGATAGCTAGATACCTCGATAGATAGATGGCTAGATAGATAGCTAGATAGATAGATGGCTAGATAGATAGCTAGATAGATAGATAGCTAGCTAGATAGATAAAGAGGTAGCTAGATAGATAGCTAGATAGATAGATCGATAGATAGAAAGCTAGATAGCTAGATAGCTAGATAGATAGTTAGCTAGATAGCTAGATAGGTAGATAGATAGCTAGCAAGATAGCTAGCTAGATAGGTAGATAGCTAGCTAGATAGATAGATAAATAGATAGCTTGCTAGATAGATAGCTAGCTTGCTAGATAGATAGCTAGCTCGATAGCTAGATAGCTGGATAGACAGCTGGATGGCTAGATAGATAGATAGCTAGATAGATAGAAAACTAGATAGCTAGATAGCTAGATAGATAGTTAGCTAGATAGCTAGATAGGTAGATAGATAGCTAGCAAGATAGCTAGCTAGATAGGTAGATAGATAGCTAGATAGATAGATAGCTTGCTAGATAGATAGCTTGCTAGATAGATAGCTAGCTAGATAGCTAGATAGCTAGCTAGCTGGATAGATAGCTAGCGCCCTCCCTCAATCCCCCCCACCCGCTTTTTATCTAATCCCAAGCTTCCGCATCTGTAAATATTTGGGTGAACATGCTCACATGTAGAACATCCCATGCAAAATGGAAGGTGAACATGCCAAAATGTGGCAAATACCATACAAAATGGAAGGTGAACATGCCCACATGTAGGAAATCCCATGCAAAATGGAAGGTGAACATGCCAAAATGTGGCAAATACCATACAAAATGGAAGGTTAACATGCCCACATGTAGTAAATCCCATGCAAAATGGAAGGTGAACATGCCCAAATGTGGCAAATACTATGCAAAATGACAAATTCAAGTTCCAAACCGTTGCAAACACTAGGCAAATGGTACCAGCCAAGAAATCCAAAAAAAAATCCCAAACCTGTTCAAAAAAAAAATCCTAAAACTATTTCACACCCATAGAAAATTATACCCACATTAGCCTGTCACCACATAGCCATCACGCACAAGAGGGATAACGTCTATGTTTAGTAATACGTATGAATATGTATATATATAATATATATATATATGTGTGTGTGTATGTGTGTGTGTTATGTGTTCGTTCATCCATATACTTGGCCTGCAATTATCCATGTTAATATATGTGTATATATACACATACATACTACTTTGTTTTCAACCATTTATATGTTTATATATATATATACATATATGAATATGTGCCGTATATTCATTAATTATGTGTTCATGTCCATATCCATCATTCAAATATCTCCCATTTTTGCATATCATTTCATGACTTGCTCCCTATTTCTTGGATGTACCATATTATGTTGAGCATATCTCAATATTGTTTTACATCCTCATGGCCATTAATCCCTCAAATGGAAAGAATGCGACAATATCCATATCCATCCATGTTATATCAGGATGGAAGAAATGATAGTTATAACATATGAGGTGTATCAGATTATGTATCTTCATGTGTATATAGCTATATATATATATACATTATACAGATTATACATTATAAATCGTACATTATTATTTATACAATATACATCTATATACATCATCTACATAATATTATTTATATGTGACATATGTATACCAAATATACATTAAATATCCATCATCCATGTCCTCCCTTTTTGTTTGCCCACTTTGGCCATCCAGCTGAAGCAGCTGAGTCGTAGAGGTGACGCCAGCCGCTGGAGCCGTTTGTCCGAGCGCTGGCGGTCCCTACGCACCAGGCCCCTGTGCCACGGGACGCCATCCATGCTGGGAAAATGCTGGGAAAATGATGGGAAGATGATGAATATCATATGATATCATATGATATCATGACATGTTCTTACAGATTTTTTCAGATTCACCTAATATTTTTTTGACAAAGCCAAGTGATAAACTGAATCTGTGGTGGTAACAGGGCCTTTCAACATCGAATTTGGGGTGCCCTGTCCATTTTCTATCAAAACATTTCCAGGAAATGACTTTCTTCGAGTGATCCCCGCCCTGATCCATTATTCTGACATAGTTTCTGACATACCATCTGGAAGTCATTCTTTCTGGCATATACTCTGACATTCTTTCTGGCATTCTATCTGGCATCTATTCTGACATGCCTTCTGGCATATATTCTGACATTCTTTCTGGCATTCTATTTGGTATATCTTCGGAGATTCTTTGTGGTTGAGGTCCGGCGGGGAACACTTTGATCCGGAGCTTGCGGTGGGGGAACACTCTGATCCCGTGCTTGCTGTTCGGGTCCGGCGGGGAATGCTGCGATCTAGCGCTTGCAGTTGAGGTCCGGCGGAGGAAGAGGAGAAGGAGGTGGCGGGACAGCCGACATAAAATCTAACAACCCTCACCTGACAGGTGGGGAATGAGAAACCCCAACACACTGTCAGTTTCCGATCCCAGATTCCCACGAAGACAAACGTCATCAAACATGTTATCAATCCCAACGCCTGCAAAATATTGTAGCTACAGCATTCATATCCCACGCTTGTTGGTTGAATCTTCAGTTGAATGGCTTCAAAGTCCCAACTTATCACTTTCATCCCTCACTGCAGGTTGGAATCCTTAGCGACTGAAGCAGCAGCAAGTCAGAAGCAACTGCCCAGCTGCTTGGTGCTGACAAAAGGTGTCCCATATCTGTGGCCACGAAACGACATTCCAGCAATGTCCTTGCATTCATACACCTATATGTTAGTATATATTATATATTATTTGAATAGTATATGTGTATCTATTCAGATATCGGCTTGAATTTCCCACTGTTCATACCCACTCTGCCACACCAGATACACGCTCTATGCTGATCTCATTCCAGTCTGTCTATGATGGACTGATTAAGCCCATCATATGCTTTTTGTCCCCATCCCGTATCCATACATATATATATATATATATGGGCCATCACATACACATTACATCCCCATCATACCTTCATCATTAATACAAAGGGGGGTCCCCAAACGACAGCTAAGTTGGTGTCTGAATCCAGTTTTCACTATAGTTTGTGGTAGTTAAAATTATATATAGTATTCATGGTGTGAAACTAGATCAGCGTTCACATCACGTTAAGGGGGCCCACATTGTAGTAGATGTTTTTTTTCCATTGGTTGGTTGATTAATCGAGTGGTCATCCCCTTTGAACAACCAATGGGTCAATGATTATTTAATGGCATCCAATACCCATCATACCCACTTTACCACACCAGATACATGCTCTATGCTGATTAAGAAACCTCAACATTGGACCCATCATGTAATACCCATCGCATCGCCAACAAATGAAGATATTTAGATATAAGTTTAGATATATTTAGTTGGTTGGTGGTTTGGAACATTTCTCCCCATATAATGGAAATAATCATCCCAACTGATTTAAATATATTTTAAAGAAGGGGTTGAAACCACCAACCAGTTGGATATGGTATATTATTTAATGGCATCCAATACCCATCATACCCACTTTACCACACCAGATACATGCTCTATGCTGATTTTTAGATATAAGTTTAGATATATTTAGATATGGTATATTATATTATACTAGTTGTATATATTATTTAGATATATATATATTATACTAAGTTTAGATATATTCAGATATATTTAGATATATTATATTATACTAGTTGTAATACCCATATCATATGTCCCCAGGTTTGGGCGACTTCGGCATCTTGGAGCAGATCTGGATGGTTCTCGAGACCACCAAATTGGTTGGGACTCCTGGCGAGCTCTGCCGAGCTAAGGAGGGTCTGTGTGGATGTTTTTTTGGACATAGATATGAGAATGTTCATTATTATTACAGCATATGATCATAGACATAATGTGTAGAGATATATATATATATGTATATATAGTTTCATACAATGTATCTGCAGATTAGTATGATTTATGTGTACTGCATATATATATATATATACATACATACATACATACATTACATTACATTACATTACATTAATACATACATACATACATACATTACATTACATTACATTACATTACATTACATTACATTACATACATACATACATACATTACATACATTCTGTATTTGCAGATGAACTACATGAGGTTATCTCTTTCGCCAACCAAGTATGTATTTATCCAGTTGCTGGTTCGCCCGCGGATTACGTGTTGATGCCTTCCTGGATAGCCCCAGTGATAGGTTGGGTATCCATTTCTTGACCTCGGATGCACATCAAAGTGGTGACCTTTTAACCCGCAGAGCATCCAGTCAAGTACCCTCTGGTAATTTAACATAACTATGGAAAATCACCATGTTTCATGGGAAATTTCACTATAAATGGTGATTTTCAATAGCTATGTTAGTCATAACCAGAGGGTACGTACTCCACCAAAAGTTTCATCCATAAATGCCCAAAAACTGTAAAACCATCGATCAACCCCAAAAAAGCCGGTGGAACCATTGGAGGATTCACCGCAGTTCTTTGGGATCCAACTTCGATGGATAAGGGAAACAACATGCGCTGATGTTTTTTTAACCACCGGCCCAGATATTTTTTGGTTTGACTCAGTCAGGTACTGTTCACGATGTTTTGGGCCTATTTGTGCATATATAAAGGGTTTCTAACACCTATTGACTTTATGTTTGACTAATTCTGATGAATTTCAAATGTGTTGATGGTTAGTTCATGTCAAGTCAATGATCAACCACATTCACATGATGGAATCTTAAACCCATTTTCATGATGGTTGATCCGGCCATCAAGCCATTTATGGGTCTTAAACACACTAAGGATGGTTAATCATCTAAGCCCATTTTAAGCCCATTAATAACCATGATTAACCATTATTAACCATGGAAATCCCATTAAATCCCATCAGTTAGTTACCATCAGAACGATGCTTTGGTTCCACCAAACCACGGCAGCACTGAAAGGCCGGCCGTGGCCATGCGGCGAGCGACTGGAGTCGTGCGCTCGGCAGCTCAGACCTGGGTGAATTTTTGGCTCAGATCATCAGAACTGGGACTTTTTGGGAGTTGTATCACATATATCACATATCAGTCATGTATCTAACTATGCCAAGAGTATATATAAATGGATACATAGTAAATGGTGTTTTTGCCAACAAGACCATTTTAGCACAGATTCAGCGGTTTTTCTCCATATTGGGGGGACCAAAAATATCAAAGTGATCATGTGATTGCCCAGTTTTGCTGTGGAACAAATGGTGAAATGGGATTGTTCATGTGGAGTTAACACATTTTCCCATCCTAGAAATTGTGATTGTTTCCGATGAACATGGGGGTGAACTTGGGGGCAAAAACTGGGATAGTACTGGTACTACCTAAAATGCTAATTTGTTACCATCGGAAGTGGAATCATTCAACGGGTTTAGCTAAAAATATGTATGCCTTTTTGCCCAAGCAAAGAGATTTCAATAGCAAAAATGGGCTGATCTTTATAATATGAACTGAGATACGCCGAGCTTACTAGCAAAATGGAGGTTTTACAAGATTTCATCATCAACAAATATTGATTGAAACTGTAGGATTTCTATCACTGAACCGACTTACATTTGGAAAACCGTCAGGAATGTTGAAGAATGGCTTTTGATCTAGTTTGGGATGTATTACAGTACCAAGCCCCCAGATTCGTCAGCTAAGAGTTTTTAAATGATGAACAACTGCAACGCGCTCCATCTTGAAACTGCTGATGTTTGGCAGTCAAAAGTGCTTTCTCACCCAGGATTTGTTTGTGAGTTTTCTATGGGAAGCCATCAGAGTAGCAATGCTACTCTGCTGAAAGATTGAGAAGACTTAACCAGGCCATTGATCAGCAAATTGGCGTTTGGAGATCTACTCTTGTTTGGTCATATTTGCATTATTTGTTTTTGTCAATTTGTTAAATGTATCTCCATCATATGATATTGTTTTTCACTGGTTGCAGGCACAAAAACTCACGTTCTTTCCCCGGAGTTCATTTGGATCTGGAATGCCACGCTACCCCGCGGTACCTCCAAATTTGGTGGTTTAAAACTTCATGTTCCTTCCAGTGGATTTGTCTAAAACTAGTGTACCCAAATCTGATGCATTTCATCATGTTCCCTGGCAAAAAGTGGTGGGATCCCAGTTGCAGATTGGATGGCCATCGCGGCTGGGAAGTTGGGAGATCTCCCCCCAGCGGGGCTGAGGACAGCGGACCCCTTTGGTGTTTGCGAGGGCTCACCACCTGAGCGCGAACTGGCCTCTGGAAGTCCTGCAGGAACATTGCGAGATGCCGTGGCCCAGTGCTCCATGAAAACTCAATGATCATCTTTCATCATGGTTTTAAGGGGTCCACCATGAAAAACTAGGGAGAATGTAATAATGTAATTGAATGTACTTGATATATGATGGCTGATGGTTAATTTGGTTAAACTTGGGGGGATCCAAACTGCTTAGTTAAGTGCTCCCCAGCAACGGCGCAACGGCCCACACTCAAACTGGGAGTTAACCTCCAAGATCTGCAGGACTTGACCAACTGACCGTTGGACAAACCTAGAGCCATGGCCCGTGTGGCAACCTATGGTAATCTAACATGGCTAGCCGGGAAATCCGAACATCACAGGATCACCCCAAAACACTGGGGAAATCGCAATTTCCCGATGGAAGTCACAATCCCTGGGTATGCCATCCAGCAAATATCCAGCATAAAAGATGGATGGGGATACCATTACGTGTATATATATAATATATATATAATATATAATATATATAATATATATATATATAATATATATAATATATATAAAATATATATATATATAATATATATAATATATATAATATATAATATATATATATAATATATATATAATACATATATATATATAATATATATAATATATATATAGGGGAGAGGCTGGGGGTTCCCCGGAAGACGTAGGAACCATCAGTCTCTCTCTGATAGATATATGCATATTTTGTCGTTCTTGCATACAAATGGGGGGGGTGGGGGGATGTTAACGTTCATTGCATTGCGTCATCAGAAGATGTTGTTACGTTGAAGATCGTTCTTGCATGCAGATGGGGGGGTTAGGGGGGATGTTAACGTTCATTGCATTGCGTCATCAGAATTTGTTGTTACGTTCAAGATGTTGTTACGTTCAAGATGTTGTTACATTCAGGATGTTGTTACGAATGCTTTCAAGACGGCTTTGTGGATGTGAAGAGAAAAAAAGGCTCATGTGCACTTCGCCAATGGTTCTCTGGTGGATTATGACATGTTTATGTCTATCAAAAGAAACCTGAAATTCCAAGAAACACGCAATTCCTATAGGAAAAGCAAAAACGATAAAGGTTGATGAAATTGAAAAAGACAAAAACAAAAAAAACATTGAAACAGCGGACAACATATCCCAGATATGTTGTCCGCATGTTGAACTAATTCCTTATATTCTCACGTTATAGGAAGAACACAAAACACTGTAAAACACAACGAATAGTTACATTTTTGAAACTGGAACACAATGAACTTCAACTGCCTTCTGGGGAACCCCCAGCCTCTGCCCTATATATATATGTATATATATATGTAAACACATTGCATCATCATCTATCCATATGATATTCATAAGTATCGTGTCAACGGACGATAACGATCACAATCTTTTCAAAGAATCATCAATATGTCATTGACAAGTTGATAATTATATATAATTATCATATGAATTGATAATAAGTATAGTATATATAATATTAATGGAATAACATCCCACTATCGTGGACAACCCTTTACCCCGAACCTTTGCAGCCGCCAGGACTTTCTTTGCCCAACAGCCGGTGACGCATCAAGCCGCATTTGGTGGAGCCATGTGGAATTTTTCTCCGACCTCCAAAATGGTTGTTATTCAATGTGCGTAACCCAATAATAAAGCATAGTAAAGCTACCATTTGGGAATGGTTTGAATACCACCAAAAAAAGTGATGACTGGGGGATGGTTTATTATTGTTTTACCTACATAGCGATTGCTAGGCAATTGAGAAGCCACCTCAGATTTCTGAGTTTATTCCAGGGTTTTCCAATCGGAAATTGCTGAGATATGACTAACAACAGCTGCACCACAATCGCAATCCTTAGATAACAATCCACATTTGCAGACGCGCGAAGTGCGTTATGCAGAGGAAAAATCATGTGGCGAAAGTGACAGCCGCAGGGCCATGGGTTGGTGGCTTCAACAATGACCATGGCGAATAGTGGATTTTTTTTAAACCATTAAAAACCATTAAAAATCCATTAAATACCATCATTATACCATCATTGATTATTAGTTTTTTGGTGGTATTATGATGGTATAATGATTACATGTCAAATGTGGAGATGACACCCATGAGTTGGGACTTGAAATCATCTGTGGGTGTCATCCCCCGGTGTGTGTCAAAAGGCGTGACGTCACTGGAATGATGCTTTTTTAAGTGGGGTAACTATCCCCAAATGGCCAAAGTGTTCAGGTGTTGTTTGTTGAGTTTGTGAATTACTATAAATTGCTATAATTCAATATAATTTATCCAGATATATCTTTCAAAATGGCTAATTTAGAACAGGGAAAATGATGATTGGTAATTCTTCCCATTACGAGCTGATTGTCTCATCAAAGCCTCCATGTTTTTCGGGGATCTTCAACTGCCACCCACGCAGGCGCAACCCTCTCCAGAGGCTATAAAAAACGGGTGGTCAACGGGTGGTAGGCTATGGGCAGTTCACCATATGGGTGGGATCAACTAGCTACCATCCCCAGTCATGGTAACTTGATCATTGGGTTACCCACATCTATCACTGGTTGGTGGTTTGGAACCATGGAATGGATTGTGACTTTCCCATATTAATTGGGATGTTTATCATCCCAACTGACGTTCACAAAGCATGATTTTTCAGGGGGTAGGTCAACTACCAAGCATTATATCATTTCATGGAAAAGTGGGTGATCAACCATTGGATGTTGCAGATGATAAATCCGAATGGTACCCTCTGGTAAACTAACATAACTATGGAAAATCACCATGTTCAATTGGTAAATCCACTATAAATGGCCATTTTCAATAGCTATGTTAAATTGCCAGAGGGTAAACCCCATGATGTGGTAAAATTCCAGATGTGGTAAATTTCAATTTCACCTTTTGAAAAGTACCAATTCAAGCCCAAGCGCTATCTTTTTTTCTAGATCATTTTTGATGAGTCAAATCCGACCAGTTCACTCTAAATTTTGTGTTTAGATAAACCATGATTAACAGAACATCAAAGGCCCGGTTTAAAACCTGGGACTTTGCCATGGGTGAACTCCCCGAAAACCAAATGGGGACGACTGGATATGCTATCAAAGACAGGCTAGAAACTAGTGGTTGTGGCAGTCGCATACCAAAAGTAGCCGGCGACACAGCATTGAAACTGGCTGCTGGCCGCGCCATCTAAATTTCAGTGATATGAAGTCTGTAGTGGGCATTTTAAAGATCAACATCATGGCTGGTGTTGAGTTTCTCCGAACGTCCTGCCTGGGAACAAACTAATGGGTGTTTTGACGACGGTCTGACTTTTACTTTTTGAATATGGGTATGGATCAATACCTATTAATACCATTTTTAGGGGAATGAACATCCATTTACCAGCTATTTTGGGGTTCACTAGGTACCAGGGTTTTGACCCATCCCCATATAATCCCAACATATCCCAACTAATTCCAATCGATTCATATTTGTCTCGGGGCAGCCACAGCCCAGATGTTGAAAACATGCTCCCAAAAATCGCCCGTGGGCCGGACCTTCAGGGGTGGACCACAGGATTGCTACAGCCAATGCCAACCACGAAAATCTGCGGATAGTTTGAATCCCCATGGCCAGATTGGGGATAGTATAATTTTGTATTGGATTTACTGCATTACAACTAATATGACTGTTCTTAATAGGAGTCTTGGCGACGTAAACTCAAAAAGCAACTGATAGGGTATCAATTAGCTATGCTCCAAGAAGACTGAGGTTAACACAATCCCTGGGGCACTACCAGCTATGATTCTACTATGCTTGGAGATCCAATTCTTTCATTTACTGCAGAGCTAGGCAAAATAGTTTTTTTTGTAGGATTGGACTTGGCAATTCTTAGACAAAATAGTGCAAAGTTGAGCAAAGCGCGAGTTGTTCCCCAGGCCCCACCAAAGCTCGACAGGTTGCGGTGCCTGGAATTGTTCCTCCTCCGGGACTCAAGGTGGAACTGGGTTACCATGGCCGCCATGGATTCTGAACATGGCATCATGCGGCACCCCAAAAAGTTGCAGGGTTCATCGGGAATGACGGTTCTTTTTAATGGCCATTCCAGGATCCTAAATTGGAGGTACCAACCATATATCAGGCCTATATAAGGCCTATGTAAGGGAATATCCCCACAAAATATGGCCTTATATGGTACAGTACCTCCATTTTAGGATCCTGGAATTCCCATTGATTAATATACACCCATGTTTTTGACCCATATGTTTAGCCATGGTCGAAAATATGGTTCATGGAGGACCCTACGATAGGGAACTTATGGTTTTGGAGGTTGATGATTCTGAGAGAAAAATATCACATGGGGATAGGACCGTAGGACAGCCCAATAAAAACCATCCCCAAATTCAACAGAAATGGGTGGGATTCAAACATCCCCAATTGAGTGTGTCCTATTTAGCTCACAAATTTGTGTATGGCTCAACCAGCTTGGGTTTTAGCTAAGAGCTAAGAACATTTTTGTTTGATGGCTGCAGGTTTATTTCTATGTGGAATTGCAAGTCAGCCGCAAGTTATGGCAGTTATGATATCTTCTGAGATCCCCATGATAATCGGGAACCCCATGGGAACCCCATAAGAACGACTCAATGTTTTCTATGGCGGATTTTGTTCCTCACAGAATCCCATGAAAATCATGGAACCTCGGCCAGGCAGAGCCTGGGACCAAAGACCCGAGCATAGCTGGGTGCAAAAAAATACGAACCCTTTCCGCCTTTCCAATTTCTTCCCAGCCTGGGACCAACTCCATCCCCAAGTTCATCAGAACGGTTGTTCCGAAGCCAATCCTCACAAGCGACTCTGATAGGCTAATCCCCGAAGAAAACACATGGCCAGATGCCACAGCCCATCCTGTGGACACCGGCTGGCAGGCTGAAGATGAACGTGCTAAGAAGTGGCTTGGAGACATCCACGGGCCCTGGTGAGCATGCCGATATTTGTTTACAGGGGGAGAAAGCAGTTGGAAACAACATGTATCAACCTGGAGGTACATGACCTAATTTGACCACTAGGAAACATGAGGAGATCACCAGAAATGGGCTCATCAGTGAGGTACCACTGGCGCCAGTGAGACCCGAAGTGACCTTCATTTGGTTTCAAGCGGACAGATGGTTCAACAGTACAAGACCGGTGGCTCTGGGTCAAGTTCTCGACCTTACCAACCAGCAGATTTTTTTGGGCTATTCTCAGACTCTCGTTTGATACCCTCTGGTGAACTAACATAACTATGGAAACCATTTTTCATGGGAAAATCCACTATTTCTATGGTCATTTTCAATAGCTATTTTGACATAACCAGAGGGTCTGTTTCAAGGCCCCAAATCCAAGTTGGTCCAACTCATTGGTGTCATCAATTCTTCCGAAGCGCCGCTTCGGCCAAGGATGAACGACTATGCCAGAACCTTGGAAAAGGCAGGGATCAGCCGCAAAAAAAAGGGGAATGAAGCATGAAAAATTGGCGGGAAAAGCCATAATTATAGAGTCATATAGAGTCATATATATATACATACATATATATATATAATCTGTTACTGCAAGGTTTTTTTTTCTGGGTGTCTAAGAGTGCCAACAAAAACACCCATGATATCTGTATCGCCAGGCCTTGAACCATCACAGCTCACCAGAAATGGCCGAACAGGTGCGCGACTTTGAAAAGACGGTGGTGTGTGTTTTTTCCCATGGAACATCTGGGGGATTGAGAACCCACAAAAAAACCTGGGACATATTAGACATATTACTGGGTAAAATTGAAAAAACGACCTCACGTCGTTCTCCCGAACCCTGGAATCATGGTTTTTATAAAGGAAATCATCCCCAAATGGCATTGGCCGAACAATTCAGGTTAGTGAAATATGACAATTTACCCAGATATTAGGATTTAGACCCCTAAAATGAATGTACCATGAAAACCGGTGATTAAAACCCATGAACAATGAGCGGCTCACCTGATATCAACGACCTGGATGTTGCCAACTATGGATTTCATCATCAAAAAACTGGGGCTTCTCCGGCTTCCCACCGGTTGATTGGCACCAATTGTTTCACAGAAAATGTCGGTGGTGGAATCCAAAAATTGTTTATGCTTTATTAAATGATGGGTTAGGCTAGCAAGATTTAACTCTTTTTTTTTGGTTGATCATAATTGTCACCATTATCACTGCCGGAAATTCGTGTTGATCATGGTTTGTTTGCTGCTTAAATCAGAAAATGATGTCCCATTGAAAAACAAACCATGTCTAACCCTTTACAACTCCATTTACAACCAATATGTGTATCTTACATCAACAAATAATGGCTGTGTTTGAAAATATGGAGGACACCTATCCCAAACACAAAGAGTGCCATGTTTTTTTTTTTCCGCTGGAAAATGATGAAGATCTTCGCCGTAGGATTGCCGCAACACCAGGCGTTGGCTTTGCTGGAGATGGCGGCGAAGGAAGAGGCGAAGCCGTCGAAGCAGTTGCGGAATGACTGGGTTTTTTGTTGGGAAATGGAAACAGTAACCACCAAAAATATCGAAGAACTGGGATTTGA